CTGGTAAACTAAACAAAATCCAGAGAATGGCTCAAGCCACCCACTGTAAGCACCTTCCCTGGCATGGTTCTGTATGAACTGGCACTTGCCTGGGACAACACAGGGCAGAGGCCGTCACAGGAGATTATATTAATGACTACCCTGTCTGAAGGAGGAAGAGAGATGCAAGCCATGCTGTGCCATGGCCTTCAAAGCCAGAGAACATAATCTGTTTTACTTAATGGTACAAAGACTGCCATAGTGACTAGGAATATCTAAGATAACAAATACTAACTTTGTAGAAAGTGTGGATTTTATTCCAGAGTGCCTTGCACCATATCCAAACATATAATTGTAGACAATGCAATTTGAAATGAAAGAAAACTCTGAAGTGAGATGCTAAGGGATCTATTCTCAACACCAGAAACTTGATTTGAAAATATCTGAACACAAAATGGGGATATTTCAATGGTAAAAATGTGTCATCATATGCAGCAAAACTCTTATTTGTCAGGATTGATTTAGCTCTTTCATTTTGGGATAATTCTCCAAACGCTTTGTTCCAATTCTCTGCAGAAAGCCACAAGGTCTCTTCCTTGCAACCAACTTTCCAGTAACATAATAAAGAAAACTCTGCTGCAAGAAAACTCTCCTTTTTGTTCTTCAGGTCATCTAAAGTGTTTTAGATGCTATATGAAGGAGTTGCATCTTGGGTGTTTAGTGGCTGGCTAACTGGCTGGTCTCCTGGAAGGAAATGGCTGCTCACTCTCTAAGTCTTGTACTTTCAGTGAATAAACAGATAACCTCAAATTTATGTGTCTTCTGTATACACTGTGTTTATGAAGGATTTGTTTTGTTTCTTCTATAATTTTCCTTAAACTTGCTGATGGTTAGCAAATCATTTTGACACAATCAAGCATTCTCCAGTGGCAGATCACTCCTCCAGTAACAAGGGCAGCTTGTTACTGCCAAAAGGGAAGCCAGGCTGTGAAGTAAGGGGAATTTATCAGTGGGAACTGGTGGAGAAGAGTTGCTTTGGACTCTCTATTGTGTGACTGTAACGAAGAACTCACATCACTGTGATAAACTGTGTTTCCTGCAACTGTCAGCTACGGTCTTGTCACTTGAACAACAGGCTCATGAATGTCAAGCTGCAACAGTTGGACACAGAATTTGCCTTTATAGTTCTACACAGAACCTGCCTTTGCAGTTCTGGTACCTTTCTAGGTTGTCTTCAAGTTTCAATAATAAACATGGAGTTCAGCAGAAAAAACCTTCATCTTGAAATGGTTTTTACATGTTGCACCTTACAAGATGCTACAATCCTTTTCTTTTATGCCTAAATCTACCTGCATGCAAGTTGCACAAGACTGCACTAGACCCAGACAGAATATTTGTGGTGGGATAGGCTGCTTTTTGCAGGGGCTAAGATTTCTAGGTGTTGACAGGCTCACTAAGCAATAAAAGCATATAAAAGCCAAATAAAGCCCACATACTGTTCACATCCTTTGCTCTGCAATTAGGACTGGTATATTTCAGAAATTTGCAACTGGTACCTCAGAGTTGAAGACACTGTCAATACAATTTGCAGTCACAAGATCCCAAACAGAAATATCAGAGAGGCCAAACCAAAAGCACATTGTTACTAGGTCAGTGACCAACAGCACCGCAAGGCAGACCAGCCTTGGTGTGGGTGGAGCACGCCTGGGACATGATGTTTCAGCTGTAATTCACAGTAAGACTATGAAAACGTGAAACTACCCAGGGCTCTGTACTCCCCCATCTATTTACTTGTAAGAAAGTGAAGGTTTTACCATACAACTTGTATTTACTTAAAATTAACAGAGGTGTGGACTAATTCTGGATGCTCCTTGCTAGTCATCCCAGTCAGTTTAAGCAACTGTATGACAGGGCCCCTTTTTTTAGTTATATCACTGGTAACAAATAGTGTCAAACAATACTTTTTGGTGCAGACATTAAACTGGTAGTCCTACTGTTCCTCCCATCTTCCAGCACTGAATCCAAACCAAATCAAAAAAAGCCTTACCTCACAACCACTACCAGCAGAACATGTCATAACCTTTATTCAAAGCCTGTTTCAAAGCCTTTGTTACATTTATTTACATAAATTGCACTTCTATTATATTTTTGTTATTTCATATCAGTTTTCTTGGAGCCTGTAATCTTTTCAACTTGCTACTAATTGCAGCTCTCTGCCTGCTATGGTCTGTTAACTACATTTACTGTGATTATCTACAGCTCTTTTTCCTACTTTCTCATAAAATTAAAATTTCACTCAGTGTCTAAAACATTTTAGCTAAAGTTAAAAAATAATTATAAACTGCACAGATCTACTAAGTGAGAGTAGTTTTCAGGGTTTATGAAAAATTCTAATTCCAAACATGTCTTCAAAGATTACAGTGGCAAAGCCTCCTTAAATTAAATCTTACTAAACAAGTGAGTCTCAACACACACCTTAAGGATCAACCAATTTATGCTACCTTGGGCCAAGGAGATGGTGCTGAGGGCAGATTACAGACTGGAAAGCTCCAGGCAAGCAACAACTTTTTAAACTCACATATGCTTTTTATACTAATTTACTTCTAATGCAGGAATTCAGATTAGACAAACCTGTGACTGCTAGTTACTCACTACACACTACCCTAAAATAGCTCAAAACAAAGGCTATCATTTACATTTTACCTGGAGATACAGATCTTTTACTTTTCATCTATAGCAAAAAGATTCTTCTAACAGTTTGTTTCTGTAGAAAATATCTTTCTTGTATAATAATTATGGGCCCAGGGCCATTAAAGGTTCATTAAATGAACATGTCACACTTTATTGTTTAACATACATTTTTAATAAGGCTAAAAATCATAGCTTAAAAATATTATTTAAAGAATATTTTCCTAAGAAATTTGTAGAAATTGTGCTAACTTTTGAGACCTGGATGCTTGAAAGAATCCAGCTCAGCACAAAGGAAAGTCTGCTGTGATTCTAATTTCACCTTATAGAGGAAATACTGAAGCTGTTTAAGCAAATTTAGTGTGGCTGAAAACAGACGCAGTCCCTTAGATTCCTGACTCTTTTTTTCCCACAGTGTTTGTAATAAACAGGTTTTTTTTGATACTTTACAAAAATCAAGGGTGCTGCAAGAAGCTGCAGTTCAGCAGATTGCTCCCTTAACTGTCTCCAGGATCCTTCTTTCAACAAGAATGATAAATAGCAATACAGCCAGATAAAAGAAATGCAAACAAGCAGATTCCAGCAGTGCTTTATATAATGGGATTAAAAGATAAATGCATAATTCTTGTAGGATATAAAGATGCTGCACGGTCCCAAGGTCAGCAGGTGCAGTTTTAACTCCTGTTTTGTGCTAACCTGTTTCAGAACCAGAGTCCTCTGGTGGCTAAATGAAACAGGCTCCAGATCTAATTACTCCCATTCCCAGACCCTTCCTGCCTCCCTGCAGAGAACAGAAATTCTCTGCTTGTTTTCCTGTTGACACCCACACACAAATTTGATACTGGCCAAAAAAAAGGCAACAAGGTGATTCATGTTACATGTGGCAGGAGGGAAGAAAGGGAAAGAACTGCGAAAGAAATTAGCTGTTCATCTGAAAAATGGGTAAGCAGCTGCTGATTAGCAACAACCACAAACTTTAGGAGGCAAGGTGTGCACCACAAGAAACAGAGTTAGGCATATACACCCTTGATCACCAGGCTGGTTGAGTTAAGGAACCACGACTGTAATTGCTGAGAAACATGTCTGCATGTGTAAAGGCTGTCTCACATTTACTACTGATCATGACAAAACCATCTGCTGAGGATTCTAACTCTGTTCCATAAATACATAAATAAAATGTTGATAAATGGGAAGTGTCTTGCTTCAGACAGCTATAGGACTGCATTCCCCTCGGGTATGAGAATGACTGCATCACTCGGACAACAGTGACGCAGGACATGCACGTGATGATGCAAAGAATATCCACTGAGTGGCATCTCTCCCGTTTTTATCATCTCAAACACCAACCCTTACTACTTTTCCCACTAATTCTTTGAAAAAATAATGATTTGATTGTACCAACTGGAACCAAAGATGGCGAAAACAAATACTGCATATGCATGTAAACATAACCTGATAAGGCTCCCTTATAAAACAAAAGTAAATTATGCAGGAGGCTCAATCCTCTTAACTAAAGATCCAAACCAACCAAGTTTTTTGGCTGTTATTGCAAGTAACAAATGTTAACAGTAAGAAACCATCCATCAGTGTGAGTTCTTATTATATTTACCAGTATCTACACATACCTACATGAGGATTTCTACTCACAGAAATGATATACAGTTTTTATGACATACTAAAAATAGATCTCTAAAATTCATTATGTGCTTAGAAAGCTTCTCATCTACTAAAGCATTCAGCTACTACTACAAAGCTATAAACCAATTTATTGTTTCTTCTTAAAAGGAAATATTATGTTCAGAACAACAGATTATAGCTAATTTATCTTTAAGGTGGAGACCATTATGAGAATAAACCTTTCCTTTGCCTTAAAAAGGAGATATTTAGTTCTTGGCCTACAAGTTTATGGAGTAACTTACCATAAATATTTCCAGAGAAGAGTCCCTGTATGTACTTGTCAATATAAATTCACAATTGCAAAACACAGATTTACAAGTTCAGCTGCTGATAATTATGCCTGGAGAAAATAATAGTTACCAACACTGATTTCTTTCTTGTGGTTTTGAACTGTTCCTTTCATTGGCATCTTCTGTTCATTTCCTGTAATTAGCTCCCCCTTCAGCAAATTTACATGCTGAATGTAAGTAGATTGTATTAATTCAATCTTCTAATAGTATTTACCTGAAATACAGTAGGAAGTTCATTATAGTGTCACCAGAGCTCTAAATGATGACAAATTTTCATTTGGATCTCTCCCCCTTTTTCTTTTTCCCCATTTCCCACTATTAGACAACACAACAGAACCCTCTCCTTCAGTCATCCTGACTCTTTACCTGGGCTGTGGTTGGCAGGGCACAGCACTGGAACCTTTGGGTTATCATAATCACAGGAGATGTTCTGCTTTCATAAAACTATTCCCAGGAATAAGGAACTGTTTCCTGGAATAAAAAGGCAGTCTGTAAACATTCCTACTCAATTCAAGTTTGAGCAAAATGTCTTCTCAGTTCATGCAGCTTTTCTGTATTTTTCACTTGAGATTTTTCAGTATTAAGTTGCCATCTTTTAGGAAAATAGGCTATTGCTCAGATCCACACAAGTACCAGTTATCTCCTTTCCCCTGAGCAGTAAATAATGATTTGAGGACTTTTGGTTTCCTGGAGAGAGATGAAAACTAGCCCAGCTTCCAAGTCTGCTCCAGGCAGGCCGGCTTGAGGAAAAGGCAAATATCAGATATGGAGCGGGGGTACAACATTAGCCCAATTAATTGAAAAGGCCCAAAATACTGAGGAACAAGGCATGAGTAAAGCCATCTAAGCAGAACAAGACCTAACACACAGCGTGGGGCAGGCTGCAGCAGGGTGCCCGCCAGCCTCTCCCAGAGGCGAATTAAAGGATTTCACAGCGCCGGCCATGCTGGGCCTCAGGCGGGACCCCTCAGCCTGCCGGGCTATTGCAGGTTTGTCTAAAGCTCACACAGGGAGAAGCTTGCTAAATTAGACTCAACAGACTGTCTACAATACAAAGACATAAAATATGGGGTAGTTTTTTATATATTTTTAGCTCCATAGTCACATTTTTACCGTAATGGAAAGGGCGCCTAAAGCTTCCATATAATTAAATTATTATTTTGGAACTTTTATTGAAAAATAGTATTACATAGAAATCTAAAAGCAACAAAGAACAGAAAAGAAAATACGTGCATTACCACATTAGCATAGATAATAATTTACAGCTCCCATCCAATGCCAGCTCCTCGGTACTCCATTGCCCGAGTACAGTTTGTGTGAGCTGTACTCAGGGAGCGCCAGGCACGGCCCCGGGGCAGCCCCAGCTGTACAGGCAGAGCGATGAAGGGCAGCGAGGCCGCCCGGCCCTACCGCCCCAAATCAAACACGAACCCCGGAGCCGGGCCCGGCCCGAAGCTCCTCCCCCCGCGCGCGCCGCCGGTGACGTCACGCAGCGCCGTTCTAGACCGTTCCAGCCCCGTGACGTCACGCGCGGCGTCATTCCAGAAGATTCGGCCGGGGCCCCTATAAAGCCCGCGGAAGAGGCGGGGCCGCTGGGATCGGTGAGCGGGCGGTGGTAGTGGCGGTGTTTTGTGCAGCGGAGCGGCCGCAGTGGTGAGCGCGGCCCGCGGGCTCTCGGCGCGGTGCTGGGCGGGATAAGCCGAGGGTAACCCGAGGGTAATGTGCCGCGTCCTCCCACAGGCACCACCATGGTGAAGGAGACGGAGTACTACGACATCTTGCAGGTGAAGCCCAATGCCTCCTCCGAGGAGATCAAGCGCGCCTACCGCAAGCTGGCGCTGAAGTACCACCCCGACAAGAACCCCAGCGAGGGCGAGCGGGTACGCGGGGCCGGGGCCGGGCCGAGGCTTGTGGGCTGCCCACCGTGAGGCGGCCGCGCTCCAGGCGGCACCTAGGGCCCCTGCGCGGGGCAGGCCCCATCCGGCCCTCCGGCGGGCCGGGGCTGAGCCGGGCTCGCCGCAGGTGCCGCCGGGCTGCGGAATGGGCCGCCCTGCAGAGAGAACCGGCGGCTGGCGCAGGGCCGCCCGCGGGAGCACCGCGGGTCCCCCACAGACAGGCCGTGGTTACATCCGGCGTGCGCTCGGCCCTAGCTCAGATTCTGCTTTGCCCTTCCTGCAGCGCAGTGCTGCTATGCGAAGGCTCCCCTACTTCCAGGTCTCTGTTCAGATCCGTGAGTCTGGCAGCAGGCCTGACGGCCCAGCTGTGGCAAAGGGGATGCAGCATTTCTTTTTTTTTGGATGCGGGTAGAAGATCGTCCTTAGAGGTACTGGTTAAAACAGGCAAAGCTGGAAGGATTTCTAGTGTGCCTGTGGCCCCTGTGCTGTCAGACGTTGAGAAAGCTGGTAGTGGATCCAGCTGCCAGCACTGTTGTGCTGGATGGATTTGTGCTCCTGAACAGGATGGGGTTTCTTCAGAGAAAAATGTTAATGCAGATGTCCAAGGTAACTATACCTGGGAAATCACTGGGCTGTACATGGGTGGACTGCTTACAAGAGAACTATTTTACGTGCTATCAGCACAGACCTGCTCAGCTGCCTGGGTTGGCTTGGATGATAAATGAGCACCACAATTAGAGAACTAGGAAAAATATGAATGATGGGATTGTTTATCTAAAAGCTGGTCTACTAATACATTAATATAGGAATAGAAGGTCCATATGTACCTTACATTAGTCTCTGGAATACTAATTTACAGAACTCAAACAGTATCCTAGTCAAAGGCAACCTTTTCTGCTCTTATTTTTTTAGTCAACCTTTTTTGCTTTTATTTTGGGCCTGCTTTTTTTTTGCTTACAACACTACAACACTTTACATGGCCATGAGTAAATGAAATTTAAAATCGAAGTGGTCATTCCAGTAATAGCAAATTATTGGAAGCTTTTCAGAGCTATTTAAGAAAATAATTGTTTTGATTTGTATCTAAGTCCTTGTGTTTGTGATGAGTAAGCAACACCAGTGTCTTGTCACATCAATCTCTGCTATAGCTGGATGTACCAGCTCAGCAGGCGTGGAGGGTCCCTGTGTAGCTCTAGGCTGACTAGCTCTGCTGTGGCCATGAGCAGTTGGGCACCTGCAGGATTTCAGGGATAGTACCATATTTCTTTCTAAATTGATTTGTTAGAGGTTATAATGGTTGTTGTGACTACTACAATCAGCAGAATGTAGTTGGTATATATTTGTAAGGTGGATGTGACTGAATTAAGCCCACTTAAAACATGGGAGGAGGGGGGAGAGGGAGGAAAGGGGTGGTTTTCCTGGACAAAACTGTACTATTATAGTCTGTTACCCAGGGAGTTTCCTTTTGGAAACAAATGCTACAAGAGGGTGTCATAGTGGCTTGATCTGTAGATGGAGTTGTATATGAGAGGGCTACTTTTCCTCTTGGTCATAGTTGTTCAGAGCTTCTTTTTTCTTTTTAGTTTAAACTTATATCCCAGGCATATGAAGTTCTGTCGGACCCAAAGAAAAGGGACCTCTATGACCAGGGTGGGGAGCAGGCTATTAAAGAAGGAGGCCTGAGTGGCGGCAGCTTCTCTTCACCCATGGACATCTTTGACATGTTCTTTGGTGGTGGAGGCCGAATGAATAGAGAGAGAAGAGGTACACAGTTCTAAACAAGTTCTAGAAACTCTAACCATGCACTTAAGCATAAAACACCTGTGCTATGGTACTGCTGTTCTGCTGAGTGCACATAGCGTGGCTATTACTTGTTGCAACAATAGAATAAGTAAACTATGATTTTTCTAGTTACTCTAGCATTAAGAGTCTAATAAAGTAGATAACATGGCTGAGCCATAGCCATCTTTCTGCTAAATTCTATTTATTTTTTGTTGAAGGGGGAATGGGTAGTCTGTAGGGGAGGGGGAAACATCAGTAAGTCAGCAGTTGATTTAGACCTGTTTAAGTTACCTTTTTTCCAAATCTGTGCCTCACTTGCTCATATGCTTTTGGGCAACTTGCTTCAAAGGACACCATCAACTTAAACTTCAGTAATTTTAAATACTATTAAAATATTTGGGAGAGATGACATGAAACTGAGTGCAGTGTGCTGCCAAAAGCATTATATGATTTTTGTCTTATCCATGTCCAATGCCTGTTGAAGGAGCAAGTAGTAACTTGCTGTAAAATCACTGAAATTATGCTATGAAGTGGCATGGAAATTTAGAGGCAGGCATAAATAGCAACTTCTAAATTGACAGATCTGAAGCTGGTAGTGTCCTTGCATCTTGCTGTTTCAGTTAAGCTTATAAAATTAGGAGTAGGAGCAGGGATAAGGTGGCTTTAATGATGCTTTGCATAATTACAGCTCAACTTTCATGTTCAGAAATAAATGAGTGGAGCTTAGTGGAAGCTGATGGAATTGCACATGCTTTTAAAGGGGCTGAGTTGTGTTCAAAGTTTGGAATGAACTCTGCATTTCGTCAATGAGACTGTGCATGAACATTTGTCTTCACAAGAGCTGAACAAGTATTAATATTTCCCTTTTGTTTTTCTAAAGGCAAAAATGTGGTGCACCAGTTAGGTGTCTCTCTTGAAGATCTATATAATGGAATTACAAGGAAACTGGCACTGCAAAAGAATGTTATTTGTGCAAAGTGTGAAGGTAAAAAAAACAAGCAGTGGTTGCAAAACCCTCTTTGAGTTGTTTGTGTGGATTGTCTGAGGCTGAGAAAAAAGTCTGAAGGCTTTCTTACTTTTCCTCTGTCTTCATTCTTTGCCTGATCCCTGAAAGTCTGCCAGGGTATTTAATTCTTACTTAGGCTTCTCAAAAAGCAAGTCTCTCAATGACAGTGTTACAAAGTGATTGTTCTAATTGCCAACTGAAACTGTTGAGTTGCAGTTGGGGGACCTAAATTAACATTTTTTTCACCCAGAACTTGGATGTAAATGTTTATTCCATAAAACTTCTTTAATTGCTGTGGGTGGAAGACTAGCTTGTGTTATGCTACTAATTTTACAGTTATTAAGTACTCCCTAGACTGGTCCTCTTTTGAGGTAAATTTTAATAAGGTCTTATATCTTAGTACTCTGTTAAATATTTAGTAAGCAGATTTTTTTTTTCCAAGTATTAATGGAATGTTTATGTCTTGAATTTGGTATGCTGACAGTTCCTTGGAAACCAGGAGTTACTGGTGGGTGGGGCAGAGGCTAATACAATAAGCAGTATAAACATTTTATTTGTAGAAACCTCCAGCTTGTGGGGTATGTTTTGTGATGGCAGCTAAATTCCATTACTGAACTACCCTCAAGTTACCCCAAGTATGCTCTTGAAGTCATTGAGTTCCAGCCTGACTACTCTAATTTTTTTAGACTAAGATGCAATTTAACTCTTTTGTCAAAGGTTATGGCGGAAAGAGAGGGGCAGTAGAAAAATGTCCCGTGTGTAAAGGAAGAGGGATGCAAGTTATAGTTCAGCAGATTGGACCTGGCATGGTGCAGCAAATCCAGACTGTGTGCCCAGAATGCAAAGGCCAAGGTGAAAGAATAAATCCGAAAGACAGATGTGACAACTGCAATGGCTGTAAGGTTGTAAGAGAGAAAAAGATCATAGAAGTTCATGTTGATAAAGGTAAGAACTGTGTATTTATACTGGTTCCCAAATAGTCAATACTAGTCTATAGTTCTGCAGAGAATAAATGGGTTTCTTTTCTTCAGGTATGAAAGATGGTCAGAAGATAGTATTTCATGGAGAAGGTGACCAGGAGCCTGATTTGGAGCCTGGTGATGTTATAATTGTCCTTGATCAAAAGGATCACAGTGTCTTTCAGAGACGAGGGCATGACTTAGTCACAAAAATGAGAATTCAACTCTCAGAGGCCTTATGTGGTTTCAGAAAGACAATTGAAACTCTGGACAACAGAGTTCTTGTCATATCTACTAGGCCAGGTAGGTCATTAAGAGTACTAATACTGTGTAAACTGCTTGTCTGTTTAATTGTATCTGGACTAGACTTGTTGGGGAAGATTGTTCTATTTGTTTGGGTTTTTTTTTTCCTAACCAGATGAATGCAACAGCAGGTTCATGAGGCAATCACTCAATTTAGTTGGTTCTTTGTTGTTGTTACTCTTCCTAAAACATGCAGAGTTATACCTAAAGCTCTCAAATACTTCTTAATAAACCTCACCCCCAGTTGGTGGATAGTGTAAAGAGGAAAGAATCTTGATTCTACTAAATTCTGTTCAGCCTGAAGCCTGTGCCAAGAAAAGCTGCTATCTCTTATAGCAGGAGAAATAGTCTAAATGGCCTTAGTTGTGTACAGCTTGGGTTTAGGTCTTCCTTGTGGATTGGTTACAATCTCCCTGAGGTGCCATGAGAACACAAGTACAGCCCTGCCTCATGTGGCTGTGAAATGCCTGTCCTGTCACAGCAGCCCACTTACAGCTCT